CTCTCTCTCTCTCTCTCTCTCTCTCTCTCTCTCTCTCTCTCTCTCTCCCTGCTGCCTGTGAATCCAGATGTAGAACTTTCAGCTACTTCTCCAGTATGTCTGCCTATGTGACACCATGTTCCTGTCATGATGATAAGTTTACATCTTAAACTGTAAGCAAGCTCCAATTAAATGTTTTCTTTTATACGAGTTGCCTTGGTCATGTGTCTCTTCACAGCAGTAGAACACTGGCTAACACACACACACACACACACATACACACGCACCCCAAATTGCTTAACTGCTGAACTCTCTCTCCAGCCCTGTTTTCCTCTATAGCATTTAGCATCATTTTCCCTGCTATCTTTTCACCTGTCTCTTGTCTTTTTCTCCCTGCTAAAATTTGAACTCCATGAGAGCAGGGCTCTCCCAACTCACGATGCTGGGGATTGAGCCCAGGGCTTCCAGCACGCTTGGCAGGCACCTTACCCCTGGGCTATGTTCCTAGCCCAAGGGCAGAGACTTTTGTTTGTGTTGTTCTCTGATGCGTCACTAGTACCAGAAACAGTGTTTACAATGTAGCAAGGATGTACACCATCTGTTAGATGAATGAGTAGTGTTTAACGCTGACAGAAAGGGTGGACGGATGAGTCAACAGATCAATTAGGACAAAAGCTCCTGGGGGAGGGACATAGCAAGCCTCAGACTTCAGAAGAGTGGGGAAAGGTCTCTGTTTGGGCAGTAAGGGTCGAGGTAAGGGTAGAGAAGACTTCGTGAAGAAAGGAAGAGTAGGATCCGGGAATCGCAGTCACCCTGCCTTCCTTCCAGGGCTGGGAAGAGGCTGTGGTTGGAAAAGCTAATCACCCTGTGAAGGATTGCTCCTCTTGGCCATGGAGTACACACAGGACCAGTCTGTTTATTTTCCTCTGGCCCCAAGCAGCTGGGCCTCTTTTTCATCCTAATTGCTGTGTTCAAGCTGCTGTCACTCCTCAGAAACAGCAGCAGATTAACTGTGCCGGCATGAGACCTAGCTGTCAGGGGACAAGCTCCCTCTGGGTATGGGGACCATGGACACAGGACCGCAGTGGAGAGTCTCATCTCAGTACTGTCCTCTGCGGCCTTGGCTGTCAGGAAGTTTGAAAACACACACCCTTCTCTCTGGCATCTCAGTAGCTTAAAAGGATAATGGGGGAGCTGGGGAGAGGTCAGTCATTAGTGTTTGCCCAGTAAGCACAAGGACCTGAGTTCCATTCCTGGAAACCATGTTAAAAAGCTGCTGAGCCTACCTGTAATCCCAGTACATGGAAAACTAGGGCAAGAGGATCAGGAGTTCAAAACCAACCTCAGCTACATAGTGGCTTTGAAACATCCTGGGCTACTGAAAAACAAACAACAACAAAAGCTGGGCTTGTAATCCAAGTGCTAAGGAGGGAGAGGCAGCCAAGTCTCTGGGACTCCCTGGTCAGCCAGCCTCACTTAACTGGCAAGCCCAGGTCCCTGTGAGAGACCTTGTCTCAAAAAACAAAGTAGATGGTTCAAAACGAATTATACCCATGGTTGACCTCTGGCATACACACACACACACACACACACACACACACACACACACACACACACATAGGTAAATGGTTTTTTGTAGGCTTGCAGAAATGAGGCACTGTGGGTGGGTGAG